CATATATATATGTATATGTATACGCATATGCATATGCATATACATATACATATACATACACACATATATACATATGCATATGCATATACCTATACATATATATATATATATACAAATACATATGTATATGCATATACATATACACATAAGTATACATAAACATATACCTACACATATGCAGATACATCTACATATGCATACGCAGATACATATACATACACATATACACATATATATACATATACATACACACATACACATACATATACATATACATATACATATACATATACATATACCTACACATACATAAATATATATAGATGTAGCTCTATATATATATATATATATGTCAAAAATATACGAGAAGCGCGACGTGACAGTGCTGCTTAAGTCATCCCGAGGCCGCGATCCTTCCTGATGACCTATGGGGCCGCGCTCCCGAGGTCACGTCTCCCTATCAAAAACGAGGGACCCGCGCCCCCGAGACCACGACCCGTAGTAAAAACACAGCGGGCCCGCGCCCCCGGGCTTCCATCAAGACGGCCGAGGCAAGCAGCCGAGGCCGCCGCGATGGCCCAGGATGCATCCGAGACGGCCCGAGGTGGCCCCATGGCGGCCCAAGAGGGCACCAGGACAGCCCAGGAAGCCCCCGAGACGGCCCAAAGTATGGCCAAAAAACCCAACGTCGAGTACGCCCCGTGAGATTCAAAAGTGGGCGGATTCGTAGTGCCGGGTTCCCTGCAGCCCCAGACGGCGAAGCCTCCAAGATGGCCCCATGAGTGCCCATTAATTGCCGAATACTCCTGCTGTGCTGCCTGAAGACAACACACAAGAGACCATGGACAGCCCCAAGAAGGCCCTTGGAGGGGCCCAAGAAGGCATTAGAGAGCCCCTCGACGGCCCAAGAGGGCCCCAAGACGACCCAAAATGGCTCGACTGAATCCCAAGACTGCCCCGCAGGAGCCCGCGAAAGGACGGAAGAAAGAGAGGAAAACAACGAAGACGAGACGGTAACCCCCGACACGACGCGGGCGGAAGAGAAGAGTTGTTAAATGTTACGACTCCCCCAAGCCTCGGACACGAAGTGCCACACGTTACGGCCTCCTGTGCTGCCCCCCCCCAACAGTCGCCACCCAAGGTACTGGGCTGGCACGGTGGCGAGACTTGCCACAGGCAGCTGGATAGATTATCTCCATTGCTCTCCTCCTCCTCCTCCTCGCCATCGTCTTGCATGAGATCGCCACTTGGCAGTGAAGCCCGCCTACTCCTCCTCCTCCTCCTCATCACCCTCTTCCTCATCCTGCCTCGTCCTCCTTCTCATCACACTACTTCCTCATCCTAACCCTGTCTCCTCCTCATCATCATCACTCCTCCATGTCGCACCCCCAGACGTGCAGGTGGGGCGGGCAAGGCGTTTCGCCTGAGACTTCCTCCCCATTTATGATTTGAAGGTTGAAATGTACAACAGCTTCACGGATGGAGGGCGGTTCGTTTACAGAATGAGACTCCCGCCTTAGCACCGCGCACATTCATTTTTTGTAACATATTCACGGACGGAGGGTGGTTGGTTTTCAAATGCGGCTCTCGCCTTAGCGCCACGCACCGTCGTCGCAAAGGTTCACAACTATTTCAACGATTCGCAGGGCTGAAGTCCCAGGAGTGGTGTTACGCCGCGATTTAGGACTGCCAAGACGCACGACTTAGGAGTGTCAGGACGCAAGAGTCACGGTAATTCGCGGCGCTGGAGTCTGCAAAAATGTGTTCCGGCACGGTTAACGATTATCAGACGTTGTCTTCCAATGGTTCAATTCCGCAACGAAGCAGTCTTGTGGGGGGCCTGTAGAGAGGGACCTTGAAGGGAGTACTCATTCAACATTGTTGATGCGTCTTGGTTTTACACTGGTCCTCACCATCCTCCTCGTCCGCCTCCTACTCCTCCTCCTCCCTCCTCCTCCTCCTCCTCCTCCTCCTCCTCCTCCTCCTCCTCCTCCTCCTCCTCCTCCTCCTCCTAGTCCTCCTCCTCCTCCTCCGCCTCATCCTCTTTCCTTCTCCTGTACCCTCCGACCCCCCGACCCCCCTTCCTTCCCCGTCCACCTTGTCCTTCTCCTCCCTATCATCCTTCTCCCGCTTCCTGAAGTTTGTCCTCCTCCTCGTCCCTCCTTCCTCCACCTCCCCCCCACGTGCCTCCTCGTCATCGATCTCATACTTCATCCTCCTCCTCCTCCTCCTCCTCCTCCTCCTCCCCTCTTCCTCCTCCTCGTCCTCCTGCTGCTACTCCTCTTCCTCCTCCTCGTCCTCCTCCTCCTCCTCCTCCTCCTCCTCCTCCTCATCATCATCATCATCATCATCATCATCATCATCATCATCATCATCATCATCATCATCATCATCATCATCATCATCATCATCATCCATCATCATCATCATCATCATCATCAGCATCATCATCATCATCATCATCATCATCATCATCATCATCATCATCATCATCATCATCATCATCCACCTCCGCCTCCTCTTCCTCTTCCTCCTCCGCCTCATTCTCTTTCCTTCTCCTGTACCCTCCGACCCCCCAATCCCCTTTCCTTCCCCGTCCACATACTCCTTCTCCTCCCCATCATCTATCTCCCGAATCCTCCATTTGTCCTCTTCCTCCTTCCTCTACCTACCCCTCCACGTGCCTCCTCGTCATCGCCCTCATACCTCCTATACCTCTCCTCCTCCTCCTCCTGCTCCTTCTCCTCCTCCTCCTCGTCCTCATCATCATCATCATCATCATCATCATCATCATCATCATCATCATCATCATCATCATCATCATCATCATCATCATCATCATCATCATCATTCTAGTCCTCCTCCTCCTCCTCCTGCTACTCCTCCTCCTCAATTCCTCTTCCTTATACATTACTTCTCCCTATCGCACCCCGAGGTCAGTTTTAGGGCGGGCCGGGCGTTTCGCCTGAGACTTCCTCACTATTTATGACTCTGCAGCTTACATAGTGACAACAGCTTCACAGATGGAGAGCGGGTGATTTTTTAATGCGGCTCTCGCCTTAGCGCCGCGCACATTCGTTTTCAAAATTTGGACGAGCTTCACGGATCGAGGGCGGGTCGTTTTCAAAATGTGGTTCTCGCATGAGCGCCGCGCACATTCGCTTTCAAACTCTGCAAGAGTTTCACGGATTGAGGGCGGCTCCTTTTCAAAATGTGGCTACCGCCTTTAGCGCCGCGCACAGTTGTTTTCAAACTTTGCAAGAGCATCACGGATTAAGGAGCACCCGTTTCCAAAATGTGGCTCTCGCCTCAGCGCCGCGCACATTTAACAATTTGCCAGGGTTTCACGGATTCCTATGATCAGCGTACCAGACATGGTGTTTAGGAAGGATTCAGGATTACGCGGGTGCAACAAGTATGTTGATTCGCTGTGTTGAAGTTCCACAAATGGCGTTCTGGTACGATTTCAGATCGTCAAGACGCAACAGTCAGGTTAATCCGTGGCGTTGAAATCCCGAGAACCATGTTTTAGCATGCTTCAGGACCTTCAAACGGTCATCTTCCAACGAGGCAGTTCCCTCAATGGAAATGAACCGTTGTAGGGGCCTATGGAGAGGGAGCTTGGAGGAAGGATTAATTCAAACATCATTGATGACTCTTGGGTTTACGCTGGCCCTCATCCTCATCCTCATCCTCATCCTCCACCTCCTCATCCTCCTTCTCCTCCTCCCCCCCCTCCTCTGGCGAGCGCGCGCCGCGGGATGAGACCGATGTTGTACGAGGTGCGCTGGGCGCCGCGGTCTGCGGGATCAGCCGGCAAGAGGGTTGCCTCCTTACTCCTCCTGCTCCACTCTCATGCCCCTCCCTTCTGTCTCATGCCTCCTTCCTTCTCCTCCTCCTCCTCCTCCTCCTCTCCTCCTCCTGCCTCCGCCTCCTCCTCCTCCTCCTCCTCCTCTTCCTCCTCCTATCCTCCTCCTCCTCCTCTCTCCTCCTCCTCCTCCTCCTCCTCCTCCTCCTCCTCCTCCTCCTCCTCCTCCTCCTCCTCGGGGGACCTCGGGCGGTCCCCCTGTGGAGAGGGGGGGACACGGGGGTTGTCGGGTGGTCTCCCTGCCTGTCGGCAAGGGAGCCCAGGACCCCTCCCCCCCGGCTCTGGCTCCAGACCGGGCCCCGATCCCGGCCCCAGGCCCCGGCTCTGGCCCGCCCCCCCCCTCCCCCCCTGCTACCCACCCCCAGCTTTGGCCCTGGCTCCAGCCCCGGCCCCGCAGCCCTGGCCCCCCGGCCCCGCCAGCCCTGGCCCCGGCACCGGCCCTGGCCCCCCGGCCCTGGCCTGAGCCCTGGCTCCGGCCCCGGCCCCAGCCTCGGTCCCGGCCGCGGATCCGGCCCCGGCCCGAGCCCCATCGCCTGCCAGGCGACCGCCCCCGAGGAGACACACAGCTCTCCTCCTCATCCTCCTCCTCCTCCTCCTCCTCCTCCCTCCCTCCCTCCCTCCCTCCTTTCCCTCCCTCCCTCCCTCCCTCACTCCCTCCACTACCCGCCCCATGTCCCGAGCTTGTGGCGGGGTCATCAGATCGTCGTTGTCGTCGTCGTCGTCGTCGTCGCCGTCCTTCTGTGTCGGCGCACAGGCCGTGAGGCCTTCACAACACAGCATCCAGAAAAACTTCAGACTGCCCTCGGCTACTCGACGGCCCCCCCGAGCGCCCAAGATGGTTCAAGATAGCCCGACACTCGCACGACACGGCCTCAGGACAGCCCAGGACAACCCCAAGATGGCTCCAAGGTCGTCCTATATTGGCCCACGAAGATCCCAAGACCTCCACGGAAGCCTCGAAGTCCCCCCGAGCGGCCCAAAGAACCAACCAGACGGCCCCAAGACCGCCAAGTGATCATCACGAAAAGCAAAAAAAACGATCGCACGCGATGATACGGCGACCTCACGCGGTTGGCTCACGCAGGCTGCCAGCGCGACGCACCACGTGGAAGAGAGGATGCCTGCGCGCGAC